GTTTATAACATGTAAAGTTATTTAATTTGATACTTAACAAAAGTGAATTTTGTGGTTATCTATGAGTTGCATATTTTGGTAGTTGAAGTACTGTATGTACAGTATGTATGTCATTTCTCTACTTTGTTAGTGGAATAACGTTTTTAAAACTTATTTCTACTATCAGAAAATGTTATTCAATGGCCATTGTTTTCTGATAATTTCTCAGTATATTATTTGCATCTGTTGTGTAACTGTATTTGTTATTGATTCAATTCTTGCTTATTACAGTATTTAAATATTTTTAAAAAAATATCATTTCTATTACTGAATTTTTTCATTCATCACATTTTTACCTACTTGCCATTTGGAGCCATTTTTATTGGGGCCATTTTTACCGGGGCCATTTTTTCCAGGGCCATTTTTTTCCGTGGCCATTCTTATCTACATTCCTACATTCGTCCACCACACCGGTCAATTCCGCTCTAGTCCCAGTTTCTCTGTATGATACACGCTGTGACCATGCTTTGACCATGGAGGAATTCAATCGAAATCGATTCAATCATGACCATTTTTATGCCGAACAAGCTTAAGCTATGCTTGGACAAAATAGCAAATTTCTAAAATCGCAAATAGAGAGATACAGTATCTCAATTTTAAATAAAAATATCTTAGTTTGAAATAGAGATATCTCTGTTAATAGAGTATCTCTATTTTCGATTAAATGACAACCCGGCTCGCTATACGATGCGAGAGTGAATGAATCCACAGCTGTCTTTCCGATAAATCATGACATAGGCATGACTCCGGCAGAATTATCGATATCGCATCCACAAATCACTAGAGTGCATAGAAATGAATTTCGTGTGTTATTATATTGTGTACAATGTATGGAGGGTAGCGTCAACGGTTGGTGGGCCCACTACTACTTCGTATCCTGAGACACGAAATATATAGTTTGGTGTTTATTGAGTCAAGGCGGTATCAAACCTCCTTGATTAATATTGGCTTACATTGTAATTCTTGTCTTTTATTTCTTTTTTCGAATACTGTAAACAGAAAGTTGGGCTCATCATTGTTTGCTGGAAGTCAACGGCGAAGGTCTCAGTACTTATCCAATAGTGTGCTATTTAATAACTATTACTTGTATCGTTTGAACATGCGACTACATGTAATTCAGGCGCGACCTTGACTGGATTTTTATACGATCGTTGGACATGGCTGATCAAGCAGAGCTATGCTTTCTGACATAGGCTATCCATGGGCTATCTATACCAGGTATATATTAGGCGGGCTTTATAAAACGTTTCCGTGTGAAATTTCAGAATTTTATCCTGCAGACCCTCATTGTGCCAATTGTTATATTTTCTATCGCACTGAACAATTCGAACGATTCTATGTTTTCTACTATTGGCATGGTCGAACGGCCTTAGTATGTTCACATAAGGCCTCATTAAAAAAATTATTAGTTTATCACCCCCCTCCCTCATCACTTTTAGGGAAATTCTGATATTTTTTTTTTTTTGTTTATTTGATTAACTTGTGAACATCGGTAAAATGGGGGCGGGGTTAGCAAAAAAAAAAAAAAATAAATAAATAAACCCTTCAAAAAAAAAAAAAAAAAAACCTCCTTCCCTCATCATTTTTTATTCTTTGATAGGGTGATAATTTTTTATGGGGCCTAAAATATCGGAACGGCGATAGTGGAGGTCAGGAGAAATGCTCCCCGCCCCAAATACCAAGGATATTATTCCAGGACCCTGCGCTGACAGTAGCTCAGATATCCCCTTGATTTTGGACGTCACCCCCTGGCAGACGTTCTATACCCCTGTCGGTACATTTATGGAGCATCACTGTTCCAATTCAATAATCACTTCAGAATGGCCACTGCGTCAAATGAAATTATTCCATTGGCTGGAGTAAATTATGCTACCGATGCTACGCATCAAATACTGGATATATACACAACTACCGTGGAATTAACTAACATTTGGTACTACAGTATTACGACAGTCGGGTATGCAGTACGGCGTTCAAAATAGCGTATTTGGCTAAAATTGGATTTTAACACGTTCGTTGCCACACTCCCTTACCTAATTGCCTTTCTAGGTTAAGTAAGTAAGAACATTTTAAAAATAGGCACCTCTAGACATGCTCGGAAGGCACTCTCAGACTTTTTTTTGCAATTTATTTTTTTTTAATGCAATAAAATTTACATCACTTTTAAATTATGCTACGTTATACTACGTTTTCATGAAATTAGGCGTAGCATTAATGCTACATGATACGGAGTCCAAATTATGCCAAAAAGCATGCTACGAATGACCACTATGATTCACTTCCATATTATGTTAAAAGCTGACAGTTTGACCTATCATTAAAGCCAAGGCTTTTTACGGGGCGCCGTTTGGAACATTGCTATTTACATTTTTAAAAAGGCATTCTGTTTTCAGGCCTACAATAAATAATTATGTGCAACACAATTATATCTATATAAATATTTTGTATGTACCAGAAATAATTATGGTATACTACTGAGTTAAATCTGTATACATGTATCAAGCATGTATCACATTGCTGAAAACTCACGATTTCTTAGTCTCGGAACTTTTGAAAATATTCCACATTGATGATTCTAGGCTTTACAGAGTGGATAAAATAAATTCTGTGAGAACAGAAAAACATCTTATGTGCAAACAAATTTCTGTGGTGACAGAAAAAAAAATTAGTGCGTGTACTGTAGTACGGGTTATTATGTGTTATTACAGAATGCATACTGTGTGCACAGAAAACAATTATGTGGATACATATTTGTTTCTGTTAACATGAAATACACAGAGAAATAAATCTGCTACAGAATAGTTGAAAAGAATTCTAGTAGGCCTACAACTGTTAACAAATAATCTGCTGTGCACAGATTATTTGACAGTAGTGATTCTGTGGTACATACTTGTTTCTGTTAACACAAATTAACACATAGTTCCGTACACAGAATAGTTAAACAGATATAATTTTGTTTCTCATAATTATTTCTGTAACAAACAGAGTGCCCTTTTTATAACATAAATAGTAATGTCCGAAACGGCGCTCCGTACTTTTTAACCTACTTACTCCGATTTGCGTACTCTTTGCCAGCATTGGAATCAGTCACCATCGTGTTAATATCATTCTCGCACGTATTAGAAATGTTTAATATAGGCATCAACATCTCCATCATCTGCATTTCGATGAGGTCAGTTTGATCTATCTCCATAGTTTGATCGGTCTGGTTTAAATCTAGCATACCCGGGATCATCCCATTCGAGAGGAGTTGTATAAATTGGCCGTAGGTTTCTTCAAAATCTTGCTCCTCTTGTTGTTGATTAACATTATCAAGTCCTTCATTTTGACAGTTGACTAGGTGCGAAAAAAACAGAAAGAATACAATGCAAACACTGCATGCACGTCCGGCTGACATGTTAGCTGCAACAGCTAATTCGAATAAGTAATGGGTGTTTTCACAGTTCAAGCATCACTAAACATGCCCAGTTGCTCTTATTGGTTGGTTTTGTTATTGGTGACTCTCTCCTTTATTGTTGATAGCCGCGTGGCTCGTTCGATGGTATTATATTTTAGTTTTTAAATCCATTCATTTTTACATAATGCTAAAAAATCGTCTTAAACATAAAATATTGTTCCTCAGCCCAAAACCAATGTCTGGAGCGGATGCAGGATTTGGCGTTAGTGGGTGCGTGCAAAAATTTGAAGAAATGGTACCTGTAGATGGCCGGAAATGACACATTTATAATAGTAAAATTCATCATCATCACATCACTATATCATTATATAGTCAAAATGAAGCGCCAACAATTTTTTTTATCGGCGATTTTCGGCAACCACAGAGATCTAATGTTTGATGAACGGTACCATATAAAATACAGTACAACTTAAAAACATGTCTTTGATGTATTTACTTTACCTACTTCATGTGCCGAAAACCAATTTTTATCTTTGCACGCTTTTTCTCATACTTCTCAAATTATAATAAAGACACGCGCACTCGAATCGTGTGATAGGTAATTCAGATGTTTGTGAGCAGAGTATACCGGTATCTTGCTATAAAATATGATGTACTCTGGCTGTAGGCCTACCGCGCTCTTTCGTTAAAACCTGGTCATTTATGCAGTTTATTTCAACAATTTTCAGGCATATCTTATTGATTCCCGAAAAGTGAGGGGAACCACCCATTTTCCCTTAAAAATATGTGGGGAGGGGGAGGAAACGTGTTCCCCTTCCCAAGTGATCTGCGCACATGGGTCCGTGAAGAGTCCACATCACCTCAGCCCCAACATGGCTGGCGCTAAGGCGTGAACATTTGAGAATATTGAGCTCTGGGTGCCCATAAATTGCACTTTCATACATTAAAAATTTTACCAAAAGTTCATATCAACAATATAATACAACAATTTTTTCTCTTAATAGAATTTAGGGGAATGCGACCGCATATTGTGTCTGCGTCTATCCCTTAGTTATTTATTCTTACGATGAGGCATACGTGGATCCACATCAAGAACAAGATGTGTATAAGAGACAGGTAATGAGCTGTGAGCAATGTAAAGAGCTTATTGTGGGCGGAGTCGAGAATAGGAAAGCACTCTGAATTGGATGTGTTTTTGCATTTAACGGAGTTTTCAGAATTATTAAGCAAAAACATCATCAACATAACGTCAATAAAAAAGGATGGGTGCCCGAGTGAACGATTTTATCCAGGATTGTTCATAGTGTCCCATGAAGAGGTTAGCTCGGACGAGTCCCAGTAGAGAGGTCATTGAGACTCCAATCTATTTTTTCATAAAATTCATTATCAAAGAGAAAATTAGTATTATTAGAATCAGTATTATTTATCAGGATATAATCAAAAGCTAATGAAATAAATTCGTTTAATGGGATGTTAGTAAACAAGCTTTCAACATCGTACGATACCATAAATATATTTAAAGTATCGATACAGTTAATTTTTTCAACTAACGAAAACTTGTCATTAGCAATATAGTCAGACGGTAAATTAGGAATCAATAATGCACAAAGATATTTGGCTAGGTTGTAATTATAGCCTATTAATAGACAAGACAATAGGCAGAATTTTGGAAAGGCATAGTGTAGTATATAAACCAGTAGTAATCATAGAATTATTACATGATGATGACTTGTGACACGTCGAAACATGTCGAATAAAAGCTGTATATAATTTATTAGATGCATTACATGATATATATATAATATATACTTATATTAATATTATTAAATGTGTGTTCCCCTTTTCCAACCAGTGCGAGGTGTTACATCCTGTGGCCCATATTATAGATATATATATATATATATATATATAATCCTTTCTATGTGAATACTACTAAATATGTATTATGGAAAGGGGGATTACAAATTAAGATGATAAATTGTGAAGCTTAACCATGGAGGAATTAGTAAACTATTTCTCTATGGCTTAACTACTCACGTGCGATTGATCATGTTCAATGATTGAAGATAAAACATGATTGTTCAAAGCTAAACAGTCCAATATAAAATAATGTTGGAATATGCAAACGAGAAAAAAGGCGAGGAGTCCAATAAATCAAAGTTCCAAAGTAATCAGCGGCGAATCAAATAACCGGAATTGCAAACGAAGCAGTCGCTCCAGAATGATAAAAACAAAACTGATGGTAACAAACAAAATTGCCCCAAAAGCATGCCAACAACTGAACCCCGATGCATGTGTATGTAAGTAGACTTCCACAAAATCCGATTGCTTCGGGGACTGCTACGCTAGTGCAACGATTGCAGTAACAACAAAACTGTTGCGATAGTGTAGCGAAAATCAAGACTTTAGCTTGACATTTACCATGTCAATACATTTCTGTTTTGATGAGGAGCCATTGGTAAATTTTTGGATAAAAGCAAAAAGGATATCAGCCAGGTTGCGACAAAGTTTCCAACGCCATTCACGACAACAAAGTGGATATGTCATAAACATTTATTCAGAAAAATTCCACAACAAATTACATATTACAAAGTACATAGGCACCATAAGAAGCGGTGGCTTGTCAGTTTAAATACCAAACATCCAAAACATACACACACAGAATACATGGAAACACATAGTCAACATTTTAATTTTTAAATTTGGGATCGCCCACAATTGCCGGCACCTCCCGGAAGGGAAAATGCCTCAGTGATGTGCCCCACACACAGTAATAATACCGTGCGCTCTCAGACACCAAGACATCTCCGACAATGCACTGTCCCGGAAGGTGCCAGCGATCACGGACGACTCCCAAGAAATGAAGAAATTAAAAAAAGATAAATTTTAAAAAAAAAGAGTTAAAGCAATGCAAGAAAAGTTTTCTTTAACCTAATCTAATATCATCTCTCTCAATTTATTTTTGACCGAATTTAGCGAATTTATTTTTAAAAGGCTATCATATACCTCATTCCAGATATTTGGTCCGTGAATGAAAACAGATCTGTGAAATAGATATGTGAGGTTGGATTTCAATCGTTCGGTATATCGAATACTAAGCTTAGTCACTTATCACACAGACATGTATACTGTATTCTGTAAAGTACGGTATCTCATAGATACTCAACAGGAGTTGCCGAAAATTTCACAAATAAAAAATATTCCTCTGTCTCCTACAAGTCAAAGTATCGTAGCTGTTTATTGTGTCTGCGTCTATCCCTTAGTTATTTATTCTTACGATGAGGCATACGTGGATCCACATCAAGAACATCGATTGAATATGATTTTATATTATATATATTTATATATATACCGGTACCCTATATATAGGTCTGTAATTATCAATTCAGAATGGGGGCTCGTGTTCCTGTTATGCGCTGCTCATTCAGTAGAGGCTTATACAACCATAATGAAAACTGCAGAATCCTTTCTATGATATAAAACACTGACAATATTTATTAAATAAAGAGGGATTCCAATGGAAGATCGGAGGCTTAAACTAACCTAAAACTATGTGATCAAATTGAAGATGATTGTCCATTAACCGACTGTCAAATAGTAAATAATGTTCGAATATGCAAACCAAAAATAATATTTCTGATGTAGTTAGTGGCAAATTAAAAAAGAGGGAGTTGCCAGGGAAGCTTCCACTCATGTTCCAGAAATAACATCATCCATCCGTATATGAGGTAACACCATACACCATCCCATGTCGATCATACATGGCCTGGGTTTGCCTTGAATCTTGAATTACGGTACATCTTGAAATTACAGTACTAAATCCAATTAACCTAACTTTCCATTAGGACAGCAGCCTACCCGATCTCCATTTAGAGTCAGTTCGACCGGGAGCTGGACAGTGTAAACTCTGCCCCATGTAAGCTAGTGTATAATTATGTTGGTAGTTACTCTGGCCACATGACCAAAGTCGCGGTCATCAGGCTGAAGCATCACTCTTTTCTCACTGGATTACATTCAACTTCAGTACTGTATTCAATTCCACTGTCAACAATGTTTATAGTATATTAAGGAAAGATATGGCTCCTCCTTTTTCGCGAATTCTATTGTTTTATCATTATATTAATCATGAGGCAGTTTTATTCTTATTGGTTCCTAAACTTCGTTAACACCCCTAAGTCACTTTACATTCCCTATCTTGATTCCGGCTATCCATCACTTTTATGAGGATTCTTCCCTTATATGACCACAAAATATACAATACCCTGACTTCAGGGAGAACAGCCTATCAAGAAATAGTAGGGTATTGTACACTGGGGAATATGTAATGCATGCTAGGATAATAATCTATGCTAGGAACGTATTTAACTTCAAAGAAATAAATAAACAAATAGAAAAATCCGAAGATAAATGTAAAGCAAATGCCTTTAACACTGTTGGTCCTAGTTCGTTTGTGAGGAAAACCACCCACAAAACTGTATTCATGGCTATGAAAAGACACGGTACAGTATTGTATACTAACACAATTCTATATTGTCATCAAATATTTTGGAACTATTGAAGTAACTATACAATCTTTAAAATGTTGTCATGTAGACTTATACATTTTGTTATCTTATATTGAGAAAATAATGAATAAACATTTGGTAACAGCTTCGACCACGTATACAAAAGATTATTGCGGCTCAACTGGCCCAAATTCAATCCTAATTTTCGGGCGTCTTTTACAGAAAATACAAAAGCCTACTTTTTAATTAGATAATAAACACATCTAGCCTCACCCTACTACACCATAGAAGTGTCCTAATGGAAGGTTCAAAATACACATGCTAACAACTTTTGCGTCACTTAGTTTTCTTGTGAAACAACATTTTCTCCAGGCCCATTGTTGGTGCTTCCACAAGTACTGACAGCACAAATGCAGCGCCATACGACAGCACTATTGTTGCGATGAAAGTGTAAAACTGGAAAGTGAACGATAATATGAATAATTGTTTAAATCATATTCAATATACATCCTGGGTGGGGTATGTGAATCATTATAAGACCTGATTGGAGTTACGTTCATTCAAAAATGCAAAGTTTAGTTTAATATAGGGGAATTAAGGTTTAGAGAAGTAACATTTTCATACCAGGTTGTTTAGCCTCAATTAAGGGCGTATGAGGCACAGATCAGTTAGGCTTTAGAGTTATTTTAATATGCTACAGGTACCGATAGCTTTCACTTGCTTGGAATAATTTTCATTGTGTTATAAAAACTGAATTAATTATAAATACATTGAATATCAGGATGAATCAGTACATAAAAGAAGAATTTACCGTTTGGAAACCCCAATAGTGAAAGAGGACTTTACTTGGAAAGATGTACAAAAATAGCAACACTGGGTGGAGCAGGTATGCACAGAATGTGAGGCGAGCAAGCGGCGTCCAGATACCCCAGGACAAGAACGTGTTGACGGGCCCTGAAAAAAAACCAAAAAAACATAGCTCTATTTCAGAATGGATAATACATAGAGGCATGAGGCGTCGTCGTCGTAAACGACAACACCGCTCATCTTCATTCAATCAGTTATCATCTTCGTTTTATACTTTATTTCTACGCTATATGAAACATATTATAACTATTACACATGTGTATGTTTGCTGTGACTTATCCGTCCTAATAATCTAAGCTAAGCTCTGTAATTAAAATTTCAACGTTGATAGAATTGTTAGATTTCTTCAACTAAAAGACTGCATTCCTACCCTAGTTATAATTTCTTTCACTGAGCAGTATCCTATATATCCCCTGTCACTATTCCCTTTTATCCTGTCATACTAGTATTACTAGAAACCAAAAAATGGCGATTCCGTAAATATCGGGCAATGATTATAAGTTGTTGAATTAATAGATAGATAAAATTACCTCCGTAATCGAAAACGCAAACAAGTACTACCCAAGCTACGGCCAGAGCAAACGAGAATTTGCTGAACGTGTAGTGCATGATGGCCGCACCCTGGCTTAACTCCTTCCCGGTATTTGTTTTCCAGAGACCAAATATAACTATCATTGCCAGGATAATGGAAACAATCCACCCCACAGCCAATCCCCACTGTAAATGACGGTAAACACAGTTCAGTTACTGAATGATAAACATATATACCTGTCTCTTATACACATCTAGATGTGTATAAGAGACAGTATATAGACTTATATTATATTAGTTTTATAAATTATACAATTATTAGTTTATATTTATTATATAAGTTTATAAAATATATATGTTGTGACCTTTGGAATTCTAGGCCTTCGGCTTTCGTATGCAAACATGACATATCCTGTTAAAATGCCGACGAGGTAAGTTGAGATGCGGGTGTAGGGCTTGTTGTAGATCCTCTGAGCGTCTGGAAACTCTAAGCTTCGGTTATTGTAAAACCTTTATTTTCAGTGAAAATATAATATTTAATTACAAAGATTATTTTAAAATATTTGTTTATATATTTAATTATTTTATTTGATACATTTATATGAATTGAATCGCATCAAAGAATATGATCAGTTCTGCATTAACATTTTAATAACATTAAAAATGTGGTTGATAATTTATTCTAAAAAACATTACTTAACGCAAATACATAAATGAATCTTACCCAGAATTCAAGCCAGCCTTCAGTCCCCAATAGCCCGTGAGCGACGCAGTAGTTATGAATGAGACAACGCATACAACCGCGGTCGCTGCGATGCCCAATCTGGGTCGTCTGTATAATCAGAACAATAGGTATTTATAAATCGTCAAAAAATAATACTGTACGTGATTCAACAATACGTTTTAAAATACATTTTATTATTCCGATATGGCGTTTTTGCGTCAGGAGATAAAATACGAAATGATGTTTGCCCTACCATTCGTGCTCAAGTACCGTACTGAATGCTCAGTATATTACCAAATACTTGCGAACAAATATTTGGGAATGTACTGAGCATTCAGTACTTAAAACACGTCAGGTAGGTCAAACATCATTTCGTAGACATTTTATTACTCATTACAATATGCAAATTTATCCGAAAAGTGTCATGAATCTATCTCTTAATAAAATGTCCAATCAAACTTGAATCGTGTGTATATGTATGTGATATTATTATTATTATTATTATTATTATTATTATTATTATTATTATTATTATTATTATTATTATTTAATAATAATAATAATAATAATATATATATACTGTACTATGAGATAATAAAATCAAATTACGGAATAATATTATTGGTCTGTCTATATACCAATATTAACAATTATGACATTTTGACAGTTTCTGCCTGTTTGTGTGAGCGAGCAGACCTGTGGCTTTGTGTGTGCATGTGGTGTGATGTGCGTGCGTGTAATGGTGTGTCTGTGTGAATGCTGTGTGCTAAATTGTACTTGCTAGGCATATTAAACTTACTTAAACAATAGAATCAGAAGGGGTGGAGTGATGATGAAGAACTGCATATCAACTGCCAGATACCAAGACCATATCATGCACTGTTGGACGATATTAACCACAACACAGGGTGAATGAAATGGGAAGAAAAGTTATAGGTACGGTAATATATGGGTTTTAAAAAGAAAAGCCGAATTTATATAACCAAAAATAATTAACGAAATAAATTTACTGTTAGCTTGGACAGGAAATTTACATTACCGGACATTATTTCACCAAGAGGTTAACCCGGTTAATAAAGCTACGTACCATCCGTGTTTGCGACGATAAAAATTAGTAGTCTTATTTGACATTTATTTGGATTTAAAATTGTATTTATTGTCCATCGTAATTTGGATTTGGTAGAATGTTAACGATTAACGGACATTATTTCACCAAAGGTTAACCCGGTTAATAAAGCTACGTACCATCCGTGTTTGCGACGATAAAAATTAGTAGTCTTATTTGACATTTATTTGGATTTAAAATTGTATTTATTGTCCATCGTAATTTGGATTTGGTAGAATGTTAACGTAGTTCTGAAGAGTGCCTATTTTACTTTAGTAGGCACATTTCAAACATTGCAAGTGGTCGGCGAACACCAGTATTATAAATACGATACTTATAAGTTGTGTGTCCGTTGGGTGTGTGTTATGTTGTCCGGCCTTTAATGTTAATAAGCCATTTCGTGGGTCTAACTACGCAAGTCCTTAGTGAAGATCAATCGACAAACATAGGCGTCCAAATAGGCACGGCTTTTTGGAATCGTCTAAATTTTTAGGAAGTTATAATTAAATAACAGTTTATCAAGTAACATCTTTATCATAAATATTAGTAAATTAGTTAATGCAAGTATTCTTTACACTATTCATCACATCACTATTTGCTATTTTCAGACTACTCCGAAGGCCGCCCTAAGGCTCAGGCCTAGCCATTTTGTGTGTGTAAATTATTTTTTACGTCGATTGCATAGTTACCAACCGTCTCGCAACGTGCGGGACGGTCCCTCAATTCAGAACAATTTTGCAGAAACACATGCGTGATCATTCAAGTATTCTTTACACTATTCATCACATCACAATTTGCTATTTTCCGACTATTCCGAAGGCCGCCGTAAGGCTCAGGCCTAGCCATGTTGTGTGTGTTAAATTATTTTTTACGTCGATTGCATAGTTACCAACTGTCTTGCATCGTGCAGAACGATCCCGCATTTCAAAATAATTTTGCAGAAACACAGGCGTGATCATAAATTGTCACGCATTTAGCACAAGTCTATGCGTGACAATGAATTATCACGAATTCAGGAGAAATGCATTTAAAATTAGAAGAAATTGGTTTTATCAAAAATATAAAAACGGTTATGCAGTAATGAGTCATTAGGCCTAGAGAGCTTCATTTCGTCCGAAAAAAATCAATTCCCCGAGAGCATAGGAGGCGCATGCGGTCTTGCGCTTCTATTGTCACAACCAACCATTGATTACAGATGTGAATGAAACTGCATCCCCTTCCCCAACCAGCCAACTGGTGTGCCACTCACGCATTTCAAATCTCTCAGGTTGGGAACTATGCGATTGACTTTGGCTTATTAAATTGGCTTATTACCGATTTTATTCGAATAAACGCCCCGGGAGTAGACTGTTATTTGAGGGTAAAATTTGGTGTTGGATACATGTACTCAAATAAACGCCCACATCCCGTCAAAATGTCTGATCATAAAGACTTGTATACAATTATTTATCAAACCAGGTTAGAAAAAAATGTAAATTTACTTGAGTAGATAAATATTTGTTTATTTGGCTCATCTCTTATTTGTTTATTTGTTTTGTCATTGATTTTGTTAAGTGCCCATCAGAAGGTCTTTGTCTTCTCGGGTGCCTTCCTCCATAGCTTGTTTACGTTTTTATTTTAAACCATATTGTATTGTATATTTTAAATAATAATAGTTAAATAATAATAGTTTTGTGTGTTCTAGGGAAATAAATAAATGCCTTTTGAAATGAAAATTAATAGAATGTGTTGAGAATGATGTTACTTCAATTAGATTTGTTACAGTCATTTAGGAGGGCGTTTATTCAAGGGGAAAAAACGCCCGGGCATTTATTCGAGGAAGGCGTTTATTCCAAACCAGGCCCTCTAGAAAGGGCGTTTATTCGAGGGGCCTTTATTCGAATAAATACGGTATATCGAATTTCATTGAGATGAGATTGGAAAACAAAGCATACTGTATTTTGTATTAATGCGTATAATTATGATGTTCTTACTATTGAACCATCAGTTCCAGGAAAGGGGAACAGATTATTAATATACAGCACATTCGTCCACCAGGTGGCCCTACATAGTTGCCTAGCACCGTCGAACGTTGCATTTGCAGATGGTCCATCGGCCAGATGGATTAACAAGGACGACCAAATGGCCAAAGTCATAAAATACGCGGGAGTAATACGCCACCAACGATGGAAATAAAACAGGCCCCAGTTCAGTTTGCCGTCGCATTTTTTCAACGTTTTCAGTGTAAGATAGCATAATAGAAGACCACTGAAATCAAGATAAATTGTATCGTTATAAATTAGCATAAAATATAAACATCTAAAATATATCCACACATATTCTCCTATCGTCTGTAAAAATCGAAGAGCACAGGCCAAGCCTAACTTAGTAACGTCCTGGTTAGTAGCATGCCGTTTCCACTTTTGCTACTCAATTTATACTTTTTGATGTTTTGATCTATCATACCAAACATATAAATTTAAATAACAAATTGATTATATTTTTATATAAAATAAATGTGTTACCATGTTATACCTGAGGAGAAAGAATGTGTCAACGGCAAACGTTGCCTGCCATAATATCACGAAATAGAACTTCGGTAATAAAGTGGTCAATACGTAAGTGATATTATCTAAACAGTAAGTAAAGATAACAATTAAATATAATTTTGTATAAATACACCGATTATGAATATGTTATGTGTATTAGAAATCAAGTAATTAGAAATCAAATTATTTTAAAATGAAAGTAAAAAAAAAATAATAATCAGTTTAAAAAAGCTAGGTTATTCTCTAAGCATAACTACTATTTTGTTTTCAAACGTATTGAATACTATACTTGCCGAGTCTGTAACCCATAAATTGAGCAGTATGTCCCAAAATAATCCAAAACATACTAAGCACACGAATACCGTTAAGGGCGGGAAAAGAGCCAGGCCGGACTTCTGTGTTAAAAATCTTCGGCGCATTTTGCACAAGTGAAAATGCACGCACGAGACCTGCAATGTCTAGGCCTACAATCAAATACAAGATGATAGTAAATGCGTTTTCTTCATTTTAATAGGGAGATTACGCAAGCGAAAAAGATAACGAATACAAATACGTCATTATATTGTCATTCGTGCCTCAAACATTCTTGACAATATGCTGTTCGAGCTGCATATGATCCGTGAAGCATGCAAAAGGCATAAATCGCCTGCGTTGTGACAGATATATATAGGGGAAAGGTTGTCTAAAATGTTTATGACGTAACCGTATTCCTTACTGTTTTCGTAAGCTTGCGAAAAATTCCTAATGTTTGCAGCATACAACGAAGTTTTGGCAATAGAGATAACTGCCGATAAAACAATGCGAATATCTGACTGGGTGGTTATGTTCGCTATGCTGTGCCTTTTTTGCCTAGGGGTTATATATTATCTTTTATATTATGTCTTTTTAGGGTTATGATTGTTAGTACAATGAATTTAGGAGGGATCAATATTGAGGTAACATAAAAAAAGAAAAAAATAGGAATGTGATGGATCGTCCGATGAAATCAGAAGCAATACCTGTAATAATTATTAATGATTAAATACTGCCAGCACATTTATTTGTACATGAAGGTATCATCCGTGATTAATCAAACCTTTCTATTTTCTGTGTTCTGTCGGTTGTTCTTCATTGTTTTCTTCAGCTATTGCGACTTCATTTTGACCATCATTCCCTTCCTTAACCTCAGTGTCATCATTCAAAGCGCTTGTTTCTTCTGGAGTCGCTTCGCCTCCCTCCAACTGGATCCTAACGTTACCTTCCTCTTTACTTTTCTGTTCTTTATGCAAGCTGAAAATGTCATAGGCGGTGGCCATAACGACGCACAGCAGAAACGCGCAGCAAAGAAACCTATAGAGTTAAAGATGTGTACAAGCATGAACATAAGTGAGAGAAATGTCTACTTACGGTACATTTACAGATTTCAAAAAGAACAAACAAAACGACACGTACACTGTAACAATGGCGTCGGCATCCCATCCCACCTCCTCCTCACAAAAGAAATGAACGTACGCATCCTCGGGTAGAGGGGAAACCACTGCCAAAACTAAAACAACATCAAACAAAAACAAAATAAATGTTTTAATATCAATATCATAAAAATATTGTCGATATTTAAGCACGGAGAAAATGAATCGGTTATGCATGGCTCATGGTAGGTGTAGAATTTTGTTGGACAACTCAAGTTTTGTTATCCTCTGTACCTTAAAGTCCTTGATTAACAACCCTACGCATGAATGTGTCTATTAAACAGGTTTTCTGATTGGTCAGACGGTTGGATTTGATTGACACGTTGAAAGGTCTATCTCTATGCTATAATAATTGACCTATTTAAATAAGTTTTATTTATTTATTTATTTGATTGATTGATTTCATAATGTGTTTATGCCATCCATACTCACTTCGATAGATAAGTGCTGTCAATTCTGTACTAGAACACGACTGTGGTGCACACTCTCCTGCGCTAGCCTGTGCCTGTGGATTATTAAAATGAAATAAAATATCAATATGTGCATGGAAGGCCTATGTGTGATTTATCAAACAATATATATATATATATATATTTTGTAATTTAACGGAACATTCGTACTCATTCTCAGGGAGGATATTACCTACCGTATATATTTAATATTATATATCTCATGATGATACTGTATATGACATAGGCCTAATATGGGAAAATATTAACTATTAATTATATGATTGTTTATATATCCCATGATATATTATATCACATTATATGATTATTATAATATTTATATATTACGTCATATTATATATTATATATTTCATAAGAAATATATATTTCAATCGTTATTGGCAGATGAATCGGTAAACGGAAATCTGAATACTCATAGATTCTTCTCATATAAAATATATAAATTGCAATTGGATGGAAGAAATCACCATCAAAACACTAATTTCAATATGAATGAACAATCAAGCGACTTCGTTGGCTTTAAATTGCCATTTCGGCTGTTCACCAATCAAATATCTTGTTGTTCATTCCCCAGTAAACGGAAAGCTGAATATTCATAGATTCTTCTTATATAAATTTATTTATTTATTTAAACAATATTCTGTGAGGGTGGTCCATCCAGCTTGAGCTGATCAATTGGGACTCTCAGTACATACAATTAGAACATATATAAAAATTTAACTTGATCTTTAACATAAACAGATCAATTAAATTAAAACAGAATATGAAAAAAACCAGAAGATGAAAAAAAAAATCACCATCAAAACAAAACACTAATTTCAATAAGAATGAACAATCCTGTCTAGGCAATATGCCCGCAAAAATGCGAAGCTTTGGTATAGGCTTCCGCCATTGTCAGAGGTCTGGAAGCCCTGGCCTTAACAAAAAAAAAAAAAAAAAAAAAAAAAATGTTCGTGTGGGAATCAAAAAAAAAAAAAAAAAAATTGGTTCGTGTGTGTGGTAATTGAACACACAACCAACTGGTTTCCCGTAACATGATTGGTCTATTTTTTATAATTTGCATAATGAATTTTTCGAACATTTTTGTCTATTTTTAAAAAGTGCGTAAGTTATGGAGATGATAACAATCAAAAATCGATAATAAATTTAATTCTACATTTTTAGACAAAAAAGAAACCCTCTTGGCCCACGGCCCAATTTTTTGACACTATGTATTTTATTTGCCAGCTCTTCTAACCGTTCATTTTTAATAACTGTGGTAAGAAATTTATTGGAAATTGATCAGCTGCAGTGATTGCAGATTCATCGATATGAACAATGTTATCTGTAGGTCTACAGATGTACTGTAAAGGACACAAACAACATCAGGAGTATAACAACAACCAAATGAATGAAAATTAAATAGAATATTTACAAATAAAGCCCTCAAAATGCTCATTTTGAGCTTCCCCCACTGGGGCCTTGAGTGGCCACTAGCCTAAAGTCCGCTTAGCTCGCAAAACGCACCCACCCTCAACGCACCAATCCTACCTACGGGCTTGCTTAACAAATAATCACGTGATGATCACACATTTAAATACAGGCCTCGCGTACCTCTCCTTTCCATGGAAAGCCAATCTGACAGTATTTGGCATCGAATGGCGCTCCGTCGTAAGAGCCCTTCTTGACAGCAACACATTGCTGGTACAGGCCAAACGATGCTAGATTCCCGGTAAATTCGGCTGCGGCACTAGGTCGACTTCCTGCAGCTGTTAACACTGCAAAAAGAAGTGAAATATGAAATATTGTTAGCCCTATCTGTATTATACAGTTCTTCAAAATAGCCCATTCTTAAAATAATGTGTTCCAACCATTATGGGACTGAGGTGGGTGCAGATCATGGACTATAGAATTGTTATCGGAGACCTTCAACCCCTAAAAAATATTTGACACTGCTACTGGGGTACCGGTACCTATTCACCCTGTTTGATGGTGAGGAACAAAAGAAAAGACTATATCGAGTGGCCCTTCTATAATCTAGCGCATCTCCAGAGTTACCCTTCAGTTGTTTATGCACACGCCTACATCTCCGGGTATTTTGTTCAGTGTAAATTTAAAAAAACCCAACAACCCCTACTCCCGGAAAAATGTGAACAATAGGCCTATTGGGCGAAGCTGATGTCTTAAGTTTTCCAGGGTTACATGACGACTTCTCTAGATTCGCCAGTTAGAAATGCGTGTTTCATGAATCAATAGTAGTTTATTGTAGTCTATTTTTCCTGTTAATAATATTATTATCGTATGCCCATTGGACCTGGAACACTAAACTTGACCATGGATGTATAAAAATAAGATAACACTGAACCTCGGCAAAATGTGTTGGTTCTTTTTTTTTTTTTTTCAAAAAGGGTATTTTACACAAAATCTGTGTCATTACCGACAATCATATGTTGTATAAAAAGTTAATAGAGAAAATAAATATTTGAAGTTAAATAGGGCCTAAACATGTTTTTAGTTTCGGTCTGTGAATTAACGGAATAAAAGATCGAAAGGAGGTGTGTTCGGTGAAATACATCTGCTTCATTGCGATCAGGATGATTTGTTTAATATTATTAATAGGCCTACTCCACAACATTTTTTGTGTTTTTCGAATTCATTCAATGCCATTTTCTTCAGTCAGGTATTTACGATATTGATGTACGTCCTTCAGTGATGTATTTCGTTCCCACGGTATGAGCATGGTATGAGGCACTACAAAAAAAAACATTTTGTAAACATATTTATAATAAAGCAATTGAATTATCTGCACGCAGGTTTTTTTGAACTATTTATTAAAAAAAAAACTCCCCTCGTCAAAAGCCATCCATCTCTACCTGTGCTCGTCCAGCTAACCATTGTTGGATTCTGGTCGAATGACATTTGCGATTCAGGGAACTCGAACTACTACCTAACAGTGACGTAAATCCACGGTTAAATAAATGCGTGGTAACTTTGAGTGTATTCAGGCTAGGTATCATACATGAAATAAATATCCTTACAAGCAAAACTGGTAGACTGGTTGTAGGGAAAACAACTACGAAACGTCACATATACTCCTTCCTCCCTAGTGCAATAAACCTATCTTAACAGACTTTATAAGATACTGTGTAGTAGTAATAGTAATACTGATTCTGTTGTATCTTTATAACCATTCCTTTTATATTTTTTGTATTTTTAAGTATTTAATAATTGCAAAGTTTGTTTTGTAACTTTGATTTATGTCAAATGTTTTTATATAATTTTTTGGTGAATGTGATGGGCAAAAAGTGCACTCCCCGCGATCGGTGTTACTTGATGGCCTTTTAGGTCGCCCATAGTGGTGTGGGATGGTGGGTTCATATACCTTGCCATCATGGTGTAATGGTGTAACCAAGTTGTTCACGATACAGTCGGTACACTGCAGGCGCGACCTTTACTGGATTTCTCATCAGCTTACATCCGATGTGAGCAACCGTAGGTAGTGGCTTATAAATAGGCCTAAAATCGTTTCCACGTGAAGACGACCATGAAATTGCTCAAGAAGGTTTTTTGACATTCTGCCGGCCCCTCAGTGTGCTAGTTATTATATTTTCCATCGACACTGTACAAGTCAAACGACTCTATGTTTGTTTTCTATTATTGGCATCGAACGGCCTTAATTATATGTTTATATAAATATTTGATCGGCATATGTTCGCTCGTAGACCTACAGATAAAAACTGTCCCTGGGGTCAGGGAAACATTTCTCACCACAGGCCACCTCATGGACCTCTGTCGTCCGAAGTCACGCCGAAACATATATTAGCCCTACATGGCCCTACTTACTCCGCTTTGCGTATTCTCTGCCAGCACTGGAATCAGTCACCATCGTGTAAATATCCTTCTCGCAGGTATTCGACATGTTAAATAAAGACATAAACATCTCCATCACCTGCGTTTCTGTGCGGTCGGTTTGATCGGTTTGATTTAAAGAAGCTACACCTAGTAAACCCTGGATCACCTGTGCGAGGAATTCCTCATTCAGGAGGAGTGGAAATTGGCCGTAAGTTTCTTTAGCACTTTGCCCCTCTTGTTGTTGATTAGCATTACTAAGTCCTTCATTTTGGGAAATGACTTGATGTGAAAAAAGCAGAAAGAATATGATGTAAACACCGTCTACACGTACGGTGGACATGTTGGCTGTAACAATACTACTCTGATAAGCGAATAATATAAGTGGGGTTTTCATTCACTGTTTTCAATGCATCACTAAACATGCCCAGCGGATTGGTTGGTGTATTTGTACTTTGTCATTAATTTGACTACTACCACCATATTGATAGCGGGGCTATTCTAAAGTATAATCATAGGGTCAAGCTCGCTAGTCATATAAGATTCATTATCCATAAGGTTTGATAGTTATAATATTACCCTTATCCTCGTTTTCACAAAGAGACACCAACTTCAATTTCGACCAAAACCCCGTTTTGAGAAAAAACTTCAAAACGTTTGAAGTGGACTACTTCACAAATCCGTAAATTTCACTATTAAGATATAGAAATTTTAAATATTTTTTTACATATGTTTGAAGATAAAACAATAAACAAATTAAATGTTTAATTTATTTTCCTTTTCTTTATTACTTAGTTACCTTAATTAGCGTGAAAGTTTTGTGTTTGTTGTGAAAACAATAAAAATAAACGCAACATAGGTTGTTTATACGTAAACCACGTTATATATACAATGAAAGTTTCTTATTGATTGTGTGAAAAGAGATCTCTGTTTGGAATTAAACCCTCAATCTCTTTCGCTATCTCGGTGAGCGTCGTACCGTTTAGGCCACAGAGGCCCGTACGACATTAATACGGATCTAATCTCCCTTCTTACAACAGGGCTCACATACAGTGGAGCGAACTTTTAATGTACTGTAGTTTGTGTCACTCTCGCTAAATAAAGTTGAGTAAAAACAAAAACAGTAGTCGTCCGTCATTAATGGGTCCACGTTATTCTGTATCTAACGAATACAATAAACGTTTAATAAAATTTAAAATAAAATACAAATTGAAGTTTTAACATTAAAATTCATAATGAAATATCAATATAAAATTTCATAAACAATCACAAAACAACGAACAAAGGTGTAAAGTGGAGAAAAATTAACAAGGGACAGGAGAAGCACCTTAAACAGCCTTTTGGGGCAGTAGGCACAAAAACGTATGTTTGATAAACTTAATCAAACAAGATGAATCTCATCCATTTATATCCTTACAAGCAGTTTGAACACATCACGATGAATATAAAATTTAGGACATCCCTCAAAGATGTCAAGGCAAAAAGAGGTGCTGATGTAGGAAGAACCATGTTTACTGTCAAGCCAAATTAAATTATAATTACGCAGAACGTCAGACAAAAAGCCAAAAGTTCTCTTCAACACGCAGAGACTGAAGGACCAAGTCACCAGAAACATTTTTTAAATCAATCTCAAGAATAGTATTGATGTACTAGACGAGCTGTTAACTGAACATCAATAGTGGCTGGGCACAATTTAAACAGGCTTTTACAGCGACAAGCAGTTTAGTTCTTGGGCAGAACTACGCAACGTCATTGAAACTCCTTCCTCCATAGAACAATGGTACAATAAACCTACCTAATCAGAGCTTTATAAGGTAATGTGTAATGTAATACTGTACTGTACTTGTATCTTGATACCCCTTGATTTTTATATTGCATGTATTTTTAGGTAATCAATAAAATTTGTTTTTCAACTTTTATTTATGGCAATACTGTTGTTATATTTTATATATTTTTCATCGTCTGGTTTTTGAAAATGAATTGAATGTGTTTTATAAACTTGTAAACATATGCCGAATAAAAGCAATTTTGAATCTTGTACGATTAAGCCTTAACATTCACGGCTTCTGAACACGTAATTACTTCCCTTAGTAGGAGGCCATTGCGTTATATGATAGAAAAGAGACTGGTGGTCTTCCGTATATCGTACGGGCCTCCTGTGGTCTAAACGGTATCACGCTCGCCGTGATAGCGAGAGATTGCAGGTTCGATGCCCACAAGAGAGCTCTTTTTTCATGCAACTATTAAGGAACTTTCGTTGTATAGTCATGTTTAACTTTTTGTTTGATTTATTATCGTCTTGTTTTTTAAGGAGTGTGTGCTGCGCCTTTCGCTCGCCATAGTGTTTTTTCGTTGGCGGCGTTTTTCGTGATGGCTAGCAACGCTAAACCAGGACAGTTTCGCCGTATTGATTAGCTTAGTTTAGCTCCATTTTCTCTTACAAATGTGCTTATAAAGGCTCTTATGTCACAACTCTTTTTACCTGTTGTTTGGAAATAAACAACCGTTCACCTTACACGACGTATTGTTTCCTTATTGCGGGTTATACATCTGGTATATAGAAGGCGCCCCGGCACCTTAGAGAGACCAGAACAGAGTGTATTTTTACAGTTCACTGCCCTTTACAAAACGAAAGGTGAAGCCTCACAAAGAGATCGTGAGGTACGCAAATCTAATGATAAATGTTAGTCATCAATCTACTTTGCGTTATCGTCTACCTGAGCACCTTGGGAAATGGGTTAAACAAACTGTAGGCCTACTTTATAACTGCACATTGTATGTTACTACTACTACTAATATGCTTCGATTGGCTTAAAATTCTTAATGCGAGATACTTTAAGTGTGTTTTTTTATGGTATATTATTAATAGTGTCGGCAAACGACAAAATATAAAACCGTTAACAGTTGTTCGTAAGAAAAACTGAAACATATTATATCTAATATGATTGATTAATTAATAACTAGGGCCTACTTACAGTATTTTACAAGTTCAAAATCAGTTACTACAGTAATTCCCCCTCCCCCTTTACCCAGGATAAAACGTTTGCAAGGTTGATGCTCTGTACTTAAAATTCTTACGTAGGCCTTTCACTTGAAATCTACCATTAAAACACCAATAAGTGTACAACTGGGGCGGGCGCAGGAGTGTTGCCCTAGTTAACCAGGCCACACCCTTGATTTCATGTCGTCGAAAATATATAAGGTTAAGAAAATGCATAACTTGTAAAACGTATTAAGTTTCTTTATATTAAACAATCGTGATTTTACCTTGCATCGTCAAAGTTCATGCTAGTACGTTCAAACCTACTTTCTATCCGGTCTGTTATTATACACCAAACAGGGCCTACTTTACAGTTTAGATTGTAATTTACGGTATTATGTTTGGCCATTACGCTAATAATTAACTATTGGTAGATGTCCCGTCGATTTACAATCGGGCGGTACCAGGTAGACAATGGCGGTAAAGTTCGAAACGCATTTAATAGAGCATACAATGTATACAGTGTTTCTAGGTAAAGATTTATATTAAGTATATCAGTCATATTATTCCTATTAATTGTTTAGGTTATATTATTTGCTCAAAATTTAAATTAAAATCGTGTATGTATTGATAAGTTATATAGATTGAGTGTTTAAGTATAAAATGTAGAAATAAAATGAAGGAACAGGCCCGTAGCGTGACTTAATTTGTGGAGGTTCGTTTCAGTGGAAAGTGGACCTTATCTCCGATACTCTGGAGAACATTGTAAATATACGAATATCAATTTTTCGTTTTTCAATGTGGACCTTCTCCAGTTTTTGGGCGGTTTGTCGTTACCCCCTGAACCCCCACCCCCACTCTACGGGCCTGAGGAAGAATGGGAAAGATACTCGGAGCGGCGGCCGAAAATTTTATAACAATGATAAGTCGCTCGTTACCGATATCAATTTACGTATTTGTAGTAAATTTGTGGCTGCCAAGCATGTAAAGTTTCATAATTCATCGAATCGCGAACTTAAGTTATTTCCAAAATATTTTTAGGCCTATATGAAATTTAGAATATCACTAACGGTTTTATAAAAACAAAGAAAAACAAAAACAAAGAAATTAAGTAAATAATAGTTAAAATAATGTGTCTTATCTACTACAGCATTGTATTTATTTATGGAAATGTGATGATCGATGGTTTAAGGATTATTACCAGGCGCGAAGCCCCTGTGTTTCTTTATGAGCAATACTGTAGTTTGATCACGGTTAGAAAGTGTTAGCGCGTACTATTATAATAAGGTGACAAAATTATCTTAACATGGAACATAGCCTACAGTGTGTGCAACACACAATGACTGTTTAATGCATTGATCCAAATGCAAAATGCTGTCAAACACGATGTCTGCATTGTATCCCAGAGATAGTTGAGCCTAAACCGTATGCTCAATCAGTGGCGGCAAGAGGCCGGGCAGACGGGAAAATTGCCCCAGGCACGTGCCCGACCCGGTCTGCTGGGTTAGAAAAAAAAAATTAAAAACCTAAATAAACGTTTAAATTTAAGGAAAGATAGGTTTTACTTTTCATGTCCTGGTGAAATTAAGCACTGTATAGGCCTAATCTATTAAATTAGTCCTCTAAAAATGTCCCCATGGGCTCTGTTTCTGGACCCTAGCAAATTTTCCTAGCTTCAATGGTGATGATTTCCTCAACTCAACCAATCAACAAATTAAAAGATCATCTACTGCTGCTCTTCCGTTCACGATCATATCATGACCTCCATGCTCAGACGACAATCGGTATGTTCTCCACATTATTTCATCACGATCCTCACGACAGAACACCCTCAACTTGACCAAGTGCCATACATGCATCGTCACTTCCATTGTGTTGCAATAGTCAGAAATGGCTCACCAATAAATATATCTTCAAAATACGTTCTAAACACCAGATTGTAACTCCCAGAAGGTGAAATCATGAGGTCTTTGTTAACAAATGTAAACTATAAACGTCTCAGTGGATGGTATAGGATTTGATGTTTCAAGTTATAAGAACATGTTGGTTGGATATTTGGACCTGGGAACTTGGGAATAAGTCATGAATTATGCGGCCAAGCTGCAGCCCCAATAGAGCCACTCTTTCGTGGTAACAAATAGGGCAGGTATACAGTAGAAACCAGACCCTTCATCGTCAGGTACCTACTTCAAGATACATCTACGAAACAATACTATTGAATGTATAACTTGACTTAGCAACTCACCTTGTAGGTTTATGCAGTTCCTCTGATATAGGCCTAATACCGAAGTCATATTCCCGGGAGGACGAGTGTATAGAATTGTTTTTATCTCCATAAATGTGGTAATTACCAGGAACGGGTGTGTACGCCTCTAACGAAGCTGCCGATATTTCAATATCTCCAGGTTGCTTTCGAATAGAATTTCTCCATGGCTTTACCAGTAAATTTTCTAATTGATGACGATGTTTGCTATCCCCTCTATAGGAACTCTTCTTAGCACCATGTTGTATAATTTTAAACTGGAAATATATAGTAAATAACACTGCGAAGCATAGGACGAAGGAACGAGTTTTAACTTTCATGTTTAATTATCTTATTTACAAGTGATAAGCCAAGTATTATAGGATTTAATTGTGATCATTATTTTTCATTATTCATTGTTTGTCGCGGAGACAGATGTTGAACCTTACGTAATAAGTATTATTATATTTAACGAGGACATTTAGTACAATAGTGATTGGCGTGAAACATAAATAATGTGGCGTTTATTTGGAGAGCTCTCCAAACAGCATTGCAGAGATAATAGATACGAAAAAAAGTAATAGTATTATAATAATAATAGTATAATAATAATAATAATAATAATAACAAGAGCACTCAGTAGAGAGCATATCCTCGCCCACCGCAAACTCTTTCTGTAAAGTAAATCTTCACAAATTTGTTCCTAATTTACTTCAACCACCACCACCACTAAAACACCACCTCACTTCGCTATACTCCTCTTCAAAAACACACAATAACTCGTCAATCTCTTTCTATAAAATAATTCCTCACAAATTTGTTCCAACTTTCCAACCACAAACCATAATCTATTTTTTTAAAATTACACTAACTTCGAATGGTCAATAATCATTTCATTTTTTGTACGCCTTTAATTGTACACCTGCCAATTCCTGACATATTCTGGCTTAACTTACTGGTCAGTTTTACTCTTACAGCTGACAAACATAATACATGCAATGTATTGGTGTTGAAATGGAAATATTTTGGAAATAGAAATAGGGATTTGGTTTTTTGCGTCACATGTTTAAATGTAAAGATAAATTAGTTCCGAAAATGTGAAGTTAGCACATATAAAACTCTGTACACATTTACTGTAACTGCACTAATTTAAATATTCATCATATGCTATTGTTTCTGCCTACGGTAATACGGTAAACTAATTCTTTAAATGGTCCTCATATCCACACCCCACTTCTGATCGCGACCAAACTTGACACACTTCTTTATAAAAAAAACATGACAAACTGTTTTGCCAATTGTCATTTTCATCCATAGATCCATTTTCGAGATATTTAGGTCTGGGACCTTTTGGCCCTCAAATGCACATCCAAATTTGGATCGTCACCGGCAATCCATAATTTCTTTCTTGTATCTCGGTCAAGTTTTCACGAAAGTTTCATTCATATCAGTTGATTATTTTTTTTTAATATCTGGTCTGGGATGTTTTCCTCAAATTAAATTGTCCTCATATGCACACCCTACGCCAGATGGTCATCAACATTTAATAACCTCATCGTTGAATCATATCTAACAATCTCTGTAATTCGCATTTAAATCTGTGCAGCTGTTTTTGAGATATTTCGAACACAAGAAAAAATACTGAAACAGCAAAGCGATACACACGCACACACACACCCACACACACCCCCACACAAACATCAAGAAACGGAAACATGTATCTCCTGGCGGAGATGATGATGATGATGATGATGATGATGAGGATGAGGATGATGATGATGATGGTGATGATGATGATGATGCTTCTGCTGCTGCTGCTGCTGCTACTACTACTACTACTGCTACTACTACTACTGCTACTGCTGCTGCTGCTGCTGCTGCTGCTGCTGCTGCTGCTGCTGCTGCTGCTGCTGCTGCTGCTGCTGCTGCTGCTGCTACTACTACTACTACTAATACTAATACTAATACTAATACTAATACTAATACTAATACTAATACTAATACTAATACTAATACTAATACTAATACTAATACTACTACTACTACTACTACTACTACTACTACTACCAACAGTGCTCGAATAAGATGTTATAATCGTATCAAGCAGAGCCCTTCAACGAAAATTTCTTATATGCAATTGGCCTTGACAGCGAGATGTTGCAGGTTCGAATCCCACCAGAGAACTTTGTTATACGACAACACAACCCATCACACATTCGTGTACAATTAATCAATTATTTACTCGGAACAAAGGCATAACGACATGTTACGAAAAAGGTAATATTAGGCCTACGCGTAATTTCGGAAAGCAGTATGCAGAGTAAACACAGAATATAGGAACAGATTGCTTCCTTTTTATGCCACAATGAAGGACAATTTAACCAGTATGAGACAACCTATAAAAATTGGGCTTATTTTTAAAAGTAAATATTTCAAGAACAGACAGGAACGTCTTTTAGTATAAATTCATAGAAATATTATAACTATATGATATAATATTATATTACGGTATATCATATTGCTTTATATTACATTGTAATATTTATATGTATATACAGGCCTACATAAATTAGGTTGCATGGCTGCTTAGCACCTTGTATATATATGTTTATATATAGGCTATATATATATATATGTAT